CAACATAAGTGCATTGATGTTTGTCAGGGTCACTATGTGGTCTGTATTGGTTCTAGATTAGTACATAACCAGATCATAATATTGATATCACAGTGTTGCTTCTGTGCCTAAGATAACATGTTAGCAATCTATTGCAAATCATGCGTGTGCCATATGGTTTCATATTTTTTCTTAACAAAATAAATAATATTCAGCTTAATAATAACCCATGGCAAATTTATACCATATGTCAACATGTTTGTTTTATATCATCTAAGCCCTTGTTACTGCTGAGGGGTTGGGGTAGAGTTTATAGGTACACTTCTTAACATTTTGGCAAAAAGATGAATCTGCTCCAAGAGAGCTAACAAAATATTGCACAAGAACAACAATCTTGTTGAGCGGCTGTGATTCCTGGTAAAGAGATTAAAACTTGGGCTATACAGCATATGTGAATGTAATTGTCTACCCTTATCCTTTTCGCCACCAGACTTCCTTGCCCAAATTTTTCTGCACTTTTTTTCTCATATTCTTCAATATTTCTAGAAATGGAACCTAATTTTGGGGCCAACAGACAAAATTTGAGTCAATTTTCAGATTTTACTCCAAAAATTTGGCTATTTTTGCTCCAATCTTCGGAAGGAAAGTGCAGACTATAAACAGGACTTCAATATTTCTAAAAATGAAACCTAATTTTGGAGCCAACAGATAAAATATGAGTCAATTTTCAGTTTTTAGCTGTGCATCATGACAATGTTGAATGTGGAGTTAGCCCATTCCCATGAAAACTGCATCTCAAATTGAAATAACAAAAAGATTTTAATGTGACATAAAACATTTTTTTTACATTGGTCTAATCAACAATACATCACTTCTGTGCCTTGAAGTAAACACTAAATAAAATAATTATCTCAGTACTTGGTCTTATCATCACAATTTCCCTACTGAGCTAATGGATGACCTCTGTAACCTTTCCTTGTTGAAGTTAGAGAATTTGCTATTACAGTGCTTTGCATTTTCCTCACGGTTTCAATTAGGTCTGATCTTTTCAGATAAAATGGCTATTATTTAATAATTTGCGTAAGAGATTTATATAAACAAAATTTGTATTATACTTTTTATCAAAACTGTGTGTGTTATAGTATCCAAAAGCTTAGCACATATGTTGCAATGTTACGGAATGTCTATAGTTCAGGGTGATTCCTGGAGTTTTGCCAAACTCAGTTGGAGAGGGGTTAGTGACTTAGTATTTTACGTATTCCAGAAGGACCATATGGAATAAACAGTTAATATTTTAAGTAATCAGTAGTATCGTATTCACTCGATTAGAAGCACAATCGCTTTTGTCACAATAACAAAACTACGTTGGTATATATTTCTACAAACAGCTGAAATTCTAGTGGCGAGTCCATGCACGGTTGCAGATGTTTTTTTTTTCAGTTTTTTTTCAGGCTTTTTGGTTGACTTATGTCTACTTACGTTATGTTTGCTTGAGCAATTTTGTTATACAGTTTTACTGAGTTTGG